ACCATTGTTTGTCTTTGGGGGTTAAAATGATACATTTTTGTGGCTGAGGAAACAGAAAGGCTTAAAAGTTTGCACATCTTAGGGGGTTAAAATAATAGCACATTGCTAACCAGTTGTTTCTACTTTTGACATCTGGAACAGTGAGAAGCAACTGCTACAACCACCATGCTGTATTTGATATTTGAACAATGTATGAGTGTATGGATATTATTATTATTTATATATGTAAATATATATTTTTCTTTTGTTTCAGCTTGAAGGAAAGGTGATCAGCATTCCAGGTAAATTAGAACAGGTCAAAGTAAAACTTGATAAACAAGAGAAGGTCCATGACCAGATTATACAGCTTAAACCCCAGAGAAATTTGGCAAACAGTGCCAAGGTGGAATTAGACAAGATCAGGTATGTTCTGGTTAGTAGAGTTCTTAGCATTGCTTTCATTACACGTCTTGATATGCAAGTGATGGTAAAAGTATGCCAAAAATTGGTCTAATTTATCTGGAAACATTTGCTGTACTCAGAATTGAAGTTTATGTTAAAGATTTAAGAAAAGAGGACTTCATTTGCTTAATCACCCATTTTTTCCATTAAGATTTGCGTTTTCAAATGAACTTTTTGTATGGAAATGACAGACCCTATCATACTCCCAAGGCAGATAACATTGCCTATGTAAACAAACAAATGGAGTGAGGTCCCAAATATCACACAAACGTCCTTGTACACATCACGTTATTTTAAAGAAATATGATTATGTATATTGCATATACGAATGTTCTAAAATATTAACTTATGTTCACATTCACTCATTCTATCTAATTTATCAATAAAAAATATTCCAGCTGTGTGTATTGCTCTTCCGTAGCACAAAATGTAGACAGAAATTAGTCAGATGGAAAAGGTTGCAGCCTTCTGTGTCTGTTTGTTCTGTTTGCAAACGATAGTCACAGGAAACCTCAAATTCAGATGGAAACACAAAAATTGACGGAAAAAGTGCTAGTGTGATATAGCCTTAAGACTTCCAGCATCATTACATTACCGTGGTACTTCATTAATATACCAACCTTCCCTAGAGCCCAGATTGAAGAGGAGATGAAGGAGTTGGCTAAAGTAGACTCAGACCTGGAGTCCCAGAAAGAAATGCTGGACATGACACAGGGAGATGAGGAGATGACAAGACAAATTCAGCCAGATGTGATCATAATTGAAAACAATCTGAGGAAGGTTAAACAGCTCAAGATTCAAATTGATGATCTCCAGGCAACTTTAGGAAGCTCAGGTATAGGTAGTACCACTCCATATTGATCAAGAAAATACCAGTTGCCAGCTGCTCTTCGCTTTCATTTGTTGCAGATATTATTTTTGATTTGTTTTATCTTGGTTTCTTTTTTGATTGTTTTTCTTATGCATTGTTATTACTGAATAATTTTTAAAGAGCATGTACTAAAAACGGCATAAAATATTGCACAGATTGATAGGTTCGAAAAAGTAGAGGTGGTAATGACAACATTGCATTCAGCCAACAAGTATGCACTGTGAGATATAAAATACAATTTTTACTTGATAATGTCAAAATTACCAGAAATGATACCAAAATTCTCCTCCTTGATTTATGATAAGAAAGAGTTCCTTACGATTAGCAACTATCTGAATGTTTGGTAAAGAATTATATTTATTTTGGGTTCAGTAGGCTAAATGTAAGTGATGCTACCTGTTATGTGGTAGCACTGTTTTGAGAGATGTTATTCAAAATTATGTTCTGTTTGGTATTATGTTACTGTTAGCATTGTTGTTGCTTCATACGGGATATGTTTTCACAGATGGTGGAATGACCATGGAAGAGGCAGTAACCCGACAGAGTGAACTGGAAGATAAGCTTCGCAAGTTGCAGGCCAAAGTTGAAGAATTGCAAGAACAGCTTCAGGAACACAAGGATCGTCTTCAAGGACTTAAAGACCGCAAATTGAGACTTTCCACCCAAGAACTTGAGGTTAGCAAACCAACTTTAGTGTTGCTATTTTGAATATGTGCTTTGTATTCTGCAATTAATCATTTTCAGCCTTTTGATGCCACTCAGTGTTTTTAAACTTGTATGTTATTGTCATTCTAGCTGAGGACCAAGCTTCAGGAAACAGAGAAATTGAAGGAAGACATTTCTAAACTAGATGAGGAACGCAACAAGCTCACAGAGGACATAGAAAAGGCTCAAGTGGATATAGCACCCTTTAAGTTCCAGATAACAACCAAAACTTCTGAGAAGACAAAGCTCATGGAAGAAAAAGACTCTTGGATTGACACCCAAAATAATAAGGCATGTTATTTAATATGCTGCAGATGATTGATATTTATTTCTATTCCTATCTTTTTCTAGGTAGTCTCATTTGATAGAAAATTAATGCCCTAATGCTATACCATTCATCTCCAGTACAACATTAATACATGTTTCATTATTTTATACATTAATTATGTTACTTTTACAGTGTGTAAAATTGATTAACACTAGCTCATGGAATTTACTGTCAGTATTCTTTCTTTTTTATATCATGTTTGATAAAGTTATTTTATATTTGCCATTACATAACTTAAGAAATGGGGCTCCTGTAAGGGAAAATCTTTCCTTACACTCAATCTCAAGTTCTACTTCAACAGCTCTTAACTTCTCCATTTGATTAATAGGTGAGCACAATCGTTGAGACACACAGGAGGGCTAACGATTTACACAAGAATATCAGTGTATACATTTCAAGAAGGGAAGAAAACCAGCTGAAGGAAATTCGTAAGAAGGTTTCTACTCTACAGCAGGCTGCCGTACAACTAGATTCACAAAAGAAGATGGTTGATGAGCAAAACCGTGACATTGAGAAGGAGCTTGCCAATCAGAAGGTATTGGAAGGGATTTTTTGGGGCTTTAGATCTTGATTTTATTATGATTTTTATTTTTAATATTTTATCTTCCACCTGTACTTACTGGGGAGGTGAGAGGGCTGGATATTTGATTTGGGGGGAAGTTTTCATTGATTATGATATCCTTATTCGTGTATACTATTGTGATTTTTCGAAGTTTCCTCCTCTCTCTACTTCCTCTATAGCAAAGGAAACGTAACCTGGATGATGAAAAAAAAATCCGTGAGAAGGAGACAGAAGCAAAGCGGATGCAGAAAGTGATTAGAAATTTGGAGGAACGTATAAGAGGTTTTGACTATGACAAGCTCATTGATGAAAAAACAGAACTCCTGCAGAAGTCTAGTAGAATAGACAATCAAGTAAGACATACACCTTCAATGTTATTATTTATATTTCCTTGTTTCGTATTTATTGACATTTTTTTCTCAATATTTGTTTATTTGTCATTTGTCAAACAAAATATTTTTTCCACTTAGTAACTGAATGATTGATTTGTTGTATTACCTTCTCTTTCCTAATGTATAGTATTTTCTTGAGACTGATAAGGCCTAACTTGAGACACAAAAACAGAGGTCACTGAATTTCAGGTAACTGAATGTTAGATTCTTTGTTATAATAACTAAATGCCTTGTCAATTTTATTAACGGATGAAGGTTCTGATCACCAAATTTCCTCTTTTCAAGGGAGGCATTCTGGATGGGCGTTTGCAAGAGGTCAACAAAACTATTCAGACACTGGAAAGTGAGCTGAGAAGAAAGGAGATTCGAGATGCTGAAAAGAATTACAAGCAGAAATTTGTGGAAATGAAGGTGTGACAAAAGTTCATACAGAAAAGATATAGTATTTCAGGTTTCCCTAAATTTAATTGTTGTATTTGTGCACAACTATAATTCTATTAGTATTCCATCTACTAACCTGCAAGGTGTAAATATGTTGCTTTAATTTTAAATAACTGTTAAGATATAGACTTGAGTGTTTTCTTAAGATGTATGATTACTATGCCAAATTATGATAATAAAAATAGATGTGGCTTACAATCCCATTATGCACTATTAGATCCATTATTTGGTGCTGGTAGTTAGTTATTGCCCATACTCTAAGAGTTAAAGATAAAGCATTTTTAACTATGTAAAAGAAGAAGAAAAAGAAAAGAAGGAAGTAGAGAAAAGAAATTTATATATATATATATATATATATATATATATATATATATTATAATATATATATATATATATATATATATATATATATATATATATATATATATATTATATATGTGTGTGTGTGTGTGTGTGTGTGTGTGTGTGTGTGTGTGTGTGTGTGTGTGTGTGTGTGTGTGTGTGTGTGTGTGTGTGTGTTTGTGTGTGTGTGTGTATACAAATATATTGTGCTAATTCTTTTATTCACCCTTGGGTAAACCATTCATCACCTTAGGAATCTTTGTTTTAAAAGATGTAATTGGAAATCACATGTCTCATAGATATTTGTCAAATATGTTAAAGAAATTCAGAAATTAAATTTTTTATCTAATTTTATTATCTATTTCAGTGCACTGATGTAGCTGCAGATGATTTGAACAAATACTACAAAGTCTTAGATACTGCCATAATGCAATTCCACTCAGACAAGATGCGCACAATCAACAGCATTATCCGAGAACTTTGGCGTTCAACCTATAGGGGCAATGACATTGACTACATTGAGATCCAGACAGATGAGGCAGAGTCTCAAGGTTAGTGTTCACTCATTGTGCAAATTATGCCATTTTTAAAAACAATTAGGAATTTCACTTGGAATTTCTTTCAGATTTTTTATCCCCCCACCTTCCCTTCCTTTCCTTTCTTGTCCTATCTTTTCCTTTCCTTTTCTTTGCTTTTCCCTTCCCTTCCCTTCCCTTCCCTTTCTATTTTCCTTCTCTTCCTTTCCCTTTTCCTTTCCCTTTCATTTCATTTCATTTCATTTCATTTTTTTGTATCATTCCTTCTGTATCTTTTTTTATTTAGCTTTTCCCTCATATTACTTTTCCCCTATTCCCCTCCATTTCCATTATCATCTCGTCATATTCATTTTGTTTTGATAATAACCATGGTCATTGCAGGTGCAGACAAGCGACGTACGTACAATTACAGAGTTGTGATGGTGAAGAATGGAACAGATATGGACATGCGAGGACGTTGTTCTGCTGGTCAAAAAGTCCTAGCTTCACTTATCATCAGGTATTATGAATATTTTTTTTCTCAAAGTCATAACAATCAGGGAGTTTATAACAAATAACTATCAGATTGTGTGTTTATACTTACTTGTTTTCAAGACAGTAGCAAGTATTTATTTGACAAATTTCACACATTTATCATTTAAACTTCTGCTAGCAAGAGATGAATTGCCAGTAGTTTGAAAGGAATCTAGAAATCATCTTTGCAGATGGATCCAATATTTTACACTGATCAAAAGTCAGATCCTTATAAACCATAATGCTTAAACACATCTTTTATCTCCTTTTAGGATGGCACTTGCAGAGACATTCAGTACAAATTGTGGCATCTTGGCCCTCGATGAACCAACCACAAACTTAGATCGTGAAAATATTGAGGCTCTAGCCTTTGCTCTGTTAGAGTAAGTAATTTTTGTACAGAGTCAGAACAATTTAATAATGAAGAATTAATCTTACCTTTTGTGTAAGGGCTTTTCCATTACATTGACTAATTGCTTAGCATCACCTATCCTGATACTGTTTGTGTTTCATGTGAAATTGCAATTCACTTTTTGTTCTTTTGAATGGGTATTCACTACAGATTTTAATGTGAATTATGAAATAGACACCAGAGAATGACTGTTGAACCAGATATTACTCATAAAGACATAAATGGTTTCCTCTTTGTAGCTTATTTTAATATTTGTTTATTAAGCACAAATGTAATTCCCTTTCAGGATTGTAAATAAGAGGGCAAACCAACAAAATCTGCAATTAATTATCATTACACACGACCAAGAATTCCTGGAGAAGCTTGGTCATCCTGATTACACAGATTATTTTTCCCTAGTTGAAAGGAATGACAGGTAAGTGCAGTAAAATCCATTTTTTTTTTACTAATAGGATCCTAATGTATCTTTCCTTGATGTTGGTTTGTAATGTGATATGATATGAGAATGTCAAGTAGTGAAAGGATACTTGAAAAAAAAAGAAAGGAAAAAGAAAAAGAAAAAAATCAGAACATGTTTTCAACAGAATTGTTCCAAACTTTGGTGGATCATAGTAAAGTATCAAAAATTCTAACTGCTTTTAAAAAATGCTGGTAAGCAAAATACATGTTTGTGTGCGAGTGTGTGCATATGTATAAGCGCATATGGGTGCATGTGTGTGGGGTCATACTAAATACTGCCTGGTACCGCCCAATACCGCCCGGTACTGCTTAGTACCACTCAGCACTGCCCGGTGCTAATCAAACTACTGCCTAGTAGCTATGAACGCATTATTTGTCCCTTTTTCTCTTATAAATTTCATACTCAGTACTGCCAGGTACCGTCTGGTACTGCCCGGTACCCTCTGGTGCTGCCCGGTACCGTCCGGTACTGCCCGGTACCCTCCGGTGCTGCACGGTACCGTCCAGTGCTGCCCTGTCCGGTACCGTCCGGTGCTGCCCGGTACCGTCCGGTGCTGCCCGGTACCGTGCGGTACTGCCTAGTACCGCTCAGCACTGCCTGGTGCTAAAAAATCTACTGCCCGGTAGCTAAAAATGCTATATTTCTCTCTTTTTCTCTTATCATTTTCATACTAATTACTGGCCAGTACCGCTCAGCACTGCCCGGTGCTAATAAAACTACTGCCTGCTAGCTATAAACGCATTATTTGTCTCTTTTTCTCTTATATAAATTTCATACTCAATACTGACAGGTACTGTCCAGTATCGTCCGGTACTACCTGGTACTGTCCGGTACTACCTGGTACCGTCCGGTACTACCTGGTACCGTCTGGTACTACCTGGTACTGTCTGGTACTGCCCCGTATCATCCGGTACTACCCACTACCGTCCGGTACTGCTCGGTTCCGTGAGGTACTGCCCGGTACCGTCCAGTACTGCACGGTACCCTCCGCTACCATCCGGTACTACCCGGTACCGCCTGGCAATGCCCGGTACTGCCTGGCACTGCCCGGTACCGCCTGGCACTACCTGGTACCGCCCGGTAACGTCCGGTACTGCCTGGTACTGTCCGGTACCGTCCGGTACTACCCGGTAATGCCCGGTACCGCCGGTTATCTGTATATATATGTATATAACTGTATATATATATATCTATATATATATGTATATTATATTATATATATATATATATATTATATATATATATATTATATATATATATATATATATATATATATATATATATATATGTCTGTATATCTATCTATCTATCTATCTATAAATATATATATATATATATATATATTTATACATTATATATATATGTATATATATATATGTACTGAACGGTACCGGGCAGTACCGGATGGTACCGGACGGTACCGGGGTAGTGCTGGACGGAACCGGGCAATGCTGGACGGTACCGGGTAGTACTGGACGGACCGAGCAGTATCGAACATTACTGGAGGTACCGGGCAATCGAACATTACGGACGGTACCGGGCATTGCCAGGCGGTACCGGGCAGCACCTGATGGTACCGGGCAGTACTGGATGGAACCGGGCAGCACCGGACAGTACTGGGTAGTACCGGAAAGTACTGGATGGTAGCGGGCAGTACCGGACGTTACTGGGTAGTGCCAGGCGGTAGCGGGCAGTACCGGACGGTACCGGGCATTACTGGACGGAACCGGGCAGTACCGGGTAATGTCAGGTAATGCCAGGCGGCACTGGTCATTGCCAGGCGGTACTGGGCAGTACCGGACGGTACTGGGTAGTACCGGGTGGTACACAGCACAGAGGTACCGTCCGGGTTACTACCAGGAGTACCGTCTGTTCCTGCCAGGATCACAGGTTACGGTGTTGCATGCGGCCCAGCACACAGCCACACCACACACGACACAGCGACTAATCACACACACAGCACACACACCACACACGCACACACGGCTACCAACAGTCCCGGCCGTGCCTCCAAACATGCCAGTACCGGTGGCATTAACCGACCGTGGTATCTCGTCCAGCAATGCACATCAGTTTACATATTCTGAGGTACTGCCAGGCGTTCTAGTCCGGAGAGGTACCGTCGAGGGGGTCATGCCCTAGTACCGTTCAGCACTGCCTGGTAGGTTGCTAAGAAATCTATTTGTTCTCTTATAGATATGTGACAATAGGTAGAAATGAACTTGCCACCTCCGGGAGGTTGATTTCTGAGGTCAACTTACGCTGGGCGCCTGTTCGCCATCAGTACGCAGATTAATTATATTGTCCTGTGTTTCTCCTATCTATAAATTTCATCATAAATAGCGTGGCGGCCGACGGAGTCTCCCTACAGTTGGCCGGTCTCGAGGCCGGTACCGCCCAGCACTGCCCGTTTACTGGATTATCAGTCTCACTGCGGCCCCGCGTTGCGTATAAACTTTGTCTCTCGTATACTGTACATTATAAATTTTGTTGCACTACTGAAATAAACTGCCTCCGCTGGCTGGGAAGGCCGGGGCCTAGAGGGTCCTGGATATTTTAGTATGCGCACGCAGTGAGAAAGTTACCGAGATTAACATGAAAAACACTGCCCGAGGGCTATATATGAATCTAACTACCCTTGGTAGACTATAAAAATTCGCTGGATATGTATCTCCGTTTTGTCTCTTATATAATTTCTTATTACTCACACTGCCCTAAACTTAAGTTATATGAGGTGGAGAACACCTTGCCCAGGTGAAGGCTACTAGCCCCACCTTATCTGACCCAGGTGCAGTGGATGAAATCTAGGCTGACTCACAGTAGATCTATAATTGTACCACTTAGTTTACTGGATTCTTTCTATAAATTACATCATCTAACGTTGACATACACTCAACTGCCCAGTACCGGACAACCTCGGGGTACCTACCTACAACTAACACACAACATACGGTACTAGCCCAGCACTGCCCAACACGGAAACACTTGACCCGATAACATTTTACTAGCTTCACACACCAGGGCACAAACACAGGACACACACAGGCTACAAGCCACTATAAAGACGTCACAAATGATTTGTTCATCTATATAAATTTCATACTAAACTCTACTAGTCCCACCGGTACTGCCCGGCGACAACCACTACCCGGCTACTTACCACCCGGTTGCTATAAACGACGCAATCTATATTGTCGTCTCTAAATATACATGCCTGACCGCGCACATAGATATATGGTACTGCCCTTACTTCTCGGATATGTGGTGGTCTTATGTATAAATTGTAAGTTATATGGGTATATATATATTTTTATTTATTTTAGTTCCTAATCCGCACCTAGCATGGCAGGGGTGCATTGGTCCTTAACCGTGTATCGATGCAGTGATCTATATAATAGTCGTACGTTTTCAGCATAATCCACCCTAAACATGACCAAAACCGAAAAACAGATGAAAAGCAAGCGGAGGTACCGAGCAGTGTTGGATGGTTGGGACATAGGTTACACTTTAGGAGTGCATAATGTGATATTTCACACAGTTAGACTCCGGGAGCGACCTGCCAACCTGGCGATGCTTCAATCCAGTAGCGGGGGTATACCGCGAGCCATCACGTGCTTCGCTGACCTGCGCGTGACTGCCTGAGAAGAATTGCACCGAACCGGGCGCCCCTTGTCCGACAAGTGCCAGTAGTGCTTGGGATACCGGGTGCCAGAAAAGGATACCCCCCCCGACGGGAAAGTCTGCCCGGACGACAAACGGCTCCTTCGCTTCTTCTTCACAACCTGTTGGTAGCCTGGGCTCGCTAACGGGCTCCTCCGTGCGCATTGTTCTGGGGCAGTGCCAAGCAAAAAGGAAGGGGTCACAGAGGTACCGGGCAAGTACGGGGATCATGTATGCGGGCGAGTGACCAGTTAGGTTTACCGGGAGGGTTAGTGCAGTGCAAGGAACATAGGCTACGATGCAAAGGGATGGGTGACCTGGGCGAACTACACAGTACCGGGCAAGTACCCCGGCGGTTAAGGCGGGAAACGGGCAAGTTGTCCGCGAGTACTGGGCTGCAGTATCGGGACAGTTGTCGCGAGTTGGTTTTGGTGCGAGTACAGGTAAAGGAGGGAGGAGGGATACGCGGGGAGAGTTACTGGACGATCCTGACCTCACACACCCCTCGGTACGTCATTTTAATATCGAAATTCATAAAGACGGGGGTACAGGAACAAAAGTACATTGCATTAACTCTCAGCCTATCCTCCTCCCGGGTAATAATGCATATATATCGTATGTTCCACTGATATTGATACAAGCCAGATGAGCTTATAGGTAGGTACTATTCTGATGCATGTCAATATATTAGTGGCTACGTACTTAATTGTGTGATGTATATAGTGAATGTTTATATATTGTGGCTTATTATATAATTGAATGGCTGTATTGCGAAGTATGTTAAGATACTATGTAGACTATTCTATAAGAAGTAGTGCGAGATACTATCTGGATAGTAATTACTGCATTTATGCTCATTCATACGTATACTACACCTGTCTTGACTAACCTATCTAACCTCCTATATCTACTATTACGATATATGTACTAGTCATATATACATAACTACTATATAGTATTATACCATATTACTATATATTATAAGCTATATCTACAGAGTACTATATAATAGTGATAATAATATGTGAAATATATACTGATATAATATATATGGAATATATGTATACTGTTACCTTTTAAGATTATGACATAGTATATAGTATACAAATGTAATACTAGACATTAGATATATAATATACTTGTAGGACTACATATATTTGGTACAATATAGCTCAGATATAATAGCCTAGTATCTTATGATATGCTATTAATGAGTATATATACTAAAACTCGTTATAAGAGTAGCTATAATACATACTCGTATTATAGATAGAGTGATAGGTATAAAAAAAGAATAGATTACATATGATATTACACTCATCTCTCTTACTCTATACATCTACTACGCGCTATGGCTATACTCCTCATCTTTCATACAGGTATTATATACACGTGCGGTACATATACCTCACTATTCACTTATTACTCACAGTAATTATAATTATGCTGAGTATCTCATAGTATTGGCTATCATAATGTACTACGCCGCTCTCATAATGATATTATATACTATGATTCTAACTCTTATATAGCACGATACAGCTATATACATTACATACTAATTATAGGGAATTTACTTATTAGTTATATCGAAGGATACCTGATATAATATTATATTGTATTGTGACACATGAGGTGCTACATATATAGCTAGATAATATAATATACGATGAGTGGTATACATTG